CTCGTTTTTCTCACATTTTCCGCTGTTTCTTCGCTTCTATTTGTTCCAGCGTTATGTTTTATAGCCTTTCTCGATAAATGTTCTAACCGAGACAAGAATATTTTTATTATTCGAACTCGAATTAGCGCGTTCAAACAGCAAAAAAATCTTCAGCTTTATATAGTAGTATAGAATTAATTTATTGCTTATTTGCGCAGAATAGAAACAATACTCGGAGTTTTCAATTTCCTAGTTAAAATTCAAACAATCAATCTGCTTTATCATTGCTTGTACTAAGTTTCCTTTGATGAAACCGCAGGAGTTACGGCGAGCACAGCCCGTAACATTACACTTAACAACGATAAAGCAAGTTAATCGTAGAAAACAGATAAAATGGAGCACAGCTTGCGTGTCTCTTAACTCGATCACATGATCTCTTTATTCATAAGATTACAATGAAATTACATAGTTTTCCTCTCAGGACAGAAGAGAGTGACAGTAGCTGTCGCGTGTACCAGTCGACGCCCCCGGGTTTCTACAGACGACCGTCATCATGCGTGACCATATCATCCCATTAAACGAAATCCTCTTAATATTATGAACACGAAAACTTGTGAGGATGTATGACTGTCTATTTCCCTTCCACGCTCTAACTTGGCCGATATTATACTATATTAAAATAACACAGGCAGAACAAGATGCTCCGGCAAACTTCGTTTTGTTGTTTGCAAGATTATTTTCACTACTGTTGATATAACGTTGACAAAAAATAATACATTAATTTAGATCCAATTTGATTACCGATAAAACCGGTACAAACCCGCGCAAGTAACAGATAATAAAAGAGGAATTCATGTTTTTTTTCACATTTTTTACAATTTATACGCCCCTATTAGTCGCGGCGTTGTTTTTTAAAACCTACAGCCTTCCTCGATAAATGGTCTATTCAGCAGAATTATAATTACAGTAGGTTCTGAGATTGGCGAGTTCAAACAAACAAACCTTTCCAGTCAAGTCAAGTCAAAAATCATTTATTCATGTAGGTAGCTATGTACACTTATGAACGTCACAAAATAATTATAGAATCTAACTTTACATTTACTACCAGTTCTCAAATCAAGGGCGTAGAACGAACGAGAAGATCTGGTACAAATCGCCGTCACTCCTTTTATCGCCAAGTTTCATTTTACATTCTTGATTTACTTTTAGGAAAAAAAAATTTTTTCCTTAAAAGAGCGGGTTCTTCCACACCCCAAGCATTCCGCGTGCATAATATCGTATTTGTATAGATGTCATATTCTTGTTTGATATGGTTTGATGGCGAGTTAAAATATCGTATTTTAACGTATCTCTTGCAGCGAGCACTGCCGCGGCGCGCATCGCCGCGGCGCGCATCTAGTCTTGGATAAACCAACAACGAAAACTACAACAGATTTCCGTTGCTGTGCGCAGGATGTTACTAATCTTTACTGTGTAATACGTCCGTCTATAAAACCACTTATCATGCTGATCGACAATTTGTTTTCCTTTTACATTTATCAGCTTATCGGCGAAGGTATAAAGTAGCGCCGAAGACGTAGGGAAATTAAGTCATACCAATTACTGTCATTGTAATTGTAATTACATGAAGGACATTTTGGTAATGTTAGATTAGTTTAGAAAACGATGCGCTTGAAAAAGAAATTAAAAACAATAAAATTGATTTATTTTAGTTTAATAATTAATAGCTACATATTGCTACTAAATGTTCACATCTTTATCTCCATATATCAGTTCTATGCATATAGAGATAATCAGGTAATAATAGTCAATAGCAGAAGAAGTAAAGGATTTCCATCAAAGAGGACAAAATTATAAACACATAATACTTTTAAATAAAACATTTTAACCGTTTTAACGCGATATATATTAGTAAAACTTTGAGTACGGGCCGACGTTTCCGTAGTTAAAATAATTTGAAATAGTTTCTAATATATATTGCGTTTTAAACAGTTAACGTGTTTTATTTAAATGTATATACTCGCTAAAATTAAAGACAGTATACATATTTATTTTAACAGAAAACTTGTTAAGAAGTTAAGCTCTCACTTTCATACTTAGAAAAGCAATTCACAAAGATCGCACGCAAAATGTATTAGTTTTCTTTTTTATACTGCGGCGTGTTTGAAATAGATAGATATTTGATAATTACGATAATTACAAATCAAGTGAATCACGGCTCTTACCTCGTTCCGGACGGACGGACGCACTTCATAACACCACTTTCTGAGCGGCAGGAATGTCACGTGACTTTTCTACTTTGTCTGTTATTGGATGACAAGTTTGACAGTTTACAAGAAAATTAGTGTAGCATAAAAACTGAATTCAAATATTTTCATATGCAATAATAATATAAGTGTGGCACCTTAACTTTTTATTTTATTTTGTTTTCCTTTACTGTATACACCAATTTCGTAGTATACGTGACGAGCGAAGAAACTTACAATTTAAAAAGTTCATACACTAAACTGTCAAACTTATCATTCTGTATTACACGTAGTATAATTTGCGACATTTATGACAGTTACGACAATGAACTTGAAAATGAATGCATAAAGCCTTGTATTTAGTCTAGCCAAAAGTCTGTCCGGACTCCAAAGTAACAATGAGTCGACGCCCTTCTACCTGCTTCGGTATTTGGACATGCCTCTAAGTATATACCATAACGTGGTAGTCTGTAACTTGTATATCAAAAAAAAAAAAATAGTCTGTTTCTCCCTTAAAAAAAAACTTGTTTCTGTAACTTAAATGGCTATTACGAAGACTTGGTCGATCTCGTAAAAGATTTGTGTGGAAGTTGAATTTCACTTCTTTTTGTAAGGCAAGAATGATACAGTGGTGTAAAAAAACTCTGCTAGTAAGCAGTAGCGTTATCCCTTAATAAGTAAATTTCACCTAAAACCTAATTTAGAACCAGGAAGCTAAAGGTGCATTGATGACGATAAGAATTGTTTTGCAAGAGCCTGTTCTTTTAATGTTAATTATATTACGTCCCGTCATACAGGCTCGTAACTTGCAATACAAGGAAGTGCACGGACTCACGGAGCCGTCAAACGGCCGGGGAGCAATTCTCAAAAAAATGATACACGATACGCGTCAATGTTTGTCAATGGCTAGTTGACAGGATCGTTGATCTAATGGTAGCAGTGTATGATTAATAACGGGTCGTGAGTTCGAACCCCACTGGGTTCAACATGCTTCTTTTTCTGTGGTTGGAATATCGAAATTCGGTCCGGGTCACGATACACTGATACAGATGAAAAACCCGTGAAGTTTAATCGCATGTCGGTTTCAGTCTCTGGGTTTCCGAATATCCAAAGCCAAAATAGGTCGACATCGCATCTTGTTTAGATGCGTTAGATGTTATGTGACTGGGGTATTTTACCTCCCATCAAAGGAACTCCATGGTTCTGTGTTCTTCTCTATCATTAAAAAAAATTACTTGGCCTATTTATATTCTGAAAGGTGACGGTTTGTAACTTGTTACTCTATTGCGTCACAAACACAAACTGAGCTTGGAATAACGCGTATTCCCAAAAAAAATCAAAATCAATCAAGAAATTGTAATATGAAATTACTGTCTAATAAAATTCTCTTTGTAAAGTACCAATACCGCGTAATTGAATAAAAAATCATATATCACTTGTTTAGAGAATTGCTCCCCCCGTAATGAGATTGTGTTGCGAAGGGAGCTTTAATTGTGTGAAGAACTACGTCCGGCATCGTTTCCATTCATTTTCCATCGGCCTGTTGTTTTTCTCATGTTCGCGCCTCGCGTGATGCAATCACGGATGTTTCTTGTCAATGCAGTCCACATTTATTAATTACTCGCAGCCTATAATAGACAATTTTCAGTCGAACAGGAATCTCTTTTTTCTTAAAGGTGTGATAACAATGACCGGCGCGGGCGGCGTACGATAATTTGTTATGTAACATTAATACGTATAAATTGAAACCAACTTATAAGAACACTCAGTTCTATTAAATAAAACACTTTTACCTGCTTATAACGCTATATAGACGACGAAATATAGCGTTATAAGCAAGTAAAATATATACTTAAATCTATATGTACGATGTACGATCACCGCATCCGAAGCGTCCGCATCGGTTCATATTACCAAATATTTATTTATTTATTTACACACACACAAATATATGTTGCCATTACAGATATAATCCAATTCGACAGTAATACACGATATAAGAAAAAATATGAAAACTATGTTTTAATAATTATTTTCATTACTTCTAGTAGTCATTTCGTTAAGAACATTATTTGCTATTTCACTCCAATACCCCGTGAAAATGTCATCCCTTTGGTGTATAATATTAACCACTCGTATTGTTTGCGTGATGAGCGCCCTGGCCATCAAGTTGGAATGCGCGAAAGGCACAACCAGCAACGGTGGATGATACCGTTTTCCCACGTATCCGTGCGGCACACTGAAGTAAAGCCAGCGCAAAGCAACGGCGTTGTGTTCTTTACCCCGAAGAATTTTTATTACTTACGTCGCCAAAGAAAATCCTCGTCTCACCCTTAATTCGCTATATCCTACCATACTCATGACGAACAGTGTAGGATACATAAGTTGGTAAAATGGGTAAACCCCATATTGTTTGTAGTACAAATATCTCAAGAACTTGTATTGAACTCGCTACAGCGTGAGGTTATATTTATCTTCATAGGGTCAAATAACATAACGTTATAGGTAATTCCCGTCTTAAACCGTTAATCGATTTCACATAGGCGTATAACCCTTCACCACAATATTTAATATAGTTTTTTGTTGCCTGTTATCAATTTAAAAACTTAAATTGTTTTTACGTAGAATAATAAATATTGTTAAATTTAATCTGCTGAAATAATGATACGACTTTAATAACTTCAGAACGTGATAAGTTCCGAGAAGTACGAAATAAGCGATGTGTAAACATAGAAAGCAGAGGGGAGACCTTGGCATTAGCCTTGTGTGTGGAAAATGAACGTCGATGAGGAAGCGCTTGCGCATTGTTTTAGCGTAGATCAGCGAACTGCGGAGTGCGGAAGGGGGAGATCTTTTAAATATGAACAAGTGTTAAATGTCAGGGTTGGAATTCTAGAGTTTAAAATAAAGGTATTCGTAAGAAAGTGCGTACGATGTTCGTAATAAATTTATCCTCTTTGTACCAGTAGTTTATATGAAGAATAATTATAAAACACTAGCTGTGCCAACGACTTCGTCCGCGAGAATCGTTATTTTGGGGGGGGGGGAAAAAAAAAAAATTTTTTTAAACCCCCCCCTTTTTTAAAAAAAAAAAATATTTTAAAAAGGGGGGGGGGGGGCCCCCCCCCCCCCGTTTTGGGAGGTTTTTTAAAAAAGAAAAAAAAAAATCGGCCGGCTTTTTTTAGAAAATTTAAAGAGGAATCATTTTTTCCAACACCTTTTTTGGGTTTTAAACCTTTTTGGGGGGGGGGGGGGGGAAAACCCCAGGGAAGAAAAGTTTCCCCTGTTTTGTTCACATTTCTCGCTGTATCTTCGCTTTTATTAGTCACAGCGCCATGTTCTATAGCCTTTCTCGATAAATGCTCTAACAATCTATCAACAACAAAAATAATTTTTCAATTCAAACCCGTAGTTCTTGAGATTAGCGTGTTCAAACAAACAAATAAACTTTTCAGCTTTATATATTAGTATAGATAACTAATATAACGAATTAAAAAGTGTATTTAAGTTAATAAATGACGCTTCAGGTGCTTTTTATCAAACGTGGTAACGAAACTGAAACATAAGACATAGTTGAATGCATTAACGTCAATTTAGGTTTGACTTTTGAAAGTGGTTTTATTAAAAATATTCAATTTAAATTCATAAATATGTAACGCCAAAAGCACGAGACACACCCACTGAACATTTCAACGAATTTCTCAGTGGCCTTTCTTCAGAGAGATATACGTTAGTAAGAAGCATCTGATCGGGTTATTCGTCAACAATTTTATTATAGCCTGTTCGCTCGCCTTACATTTGTTTACCTGTTTACTCATTGCTGTATCTTGCATAAATAAATCGGATTCCAACAACAACGGTTTCATAATAATCGTTGTTATTTATTGGTTTTGTAATCGTTACCTGTTTGCACGTGCTTTGGATTTTTGCGATAATTGAAGTCACGGTGGATAGAAAAAATGTTCAACATAATTGAATAGTTACGGTGCTATAGTAATTGTAACGGAATAATACATAATCAAAATACATCGTTGTTTAAATTTAAACTTACATGGAATCGAATTCAGGACTAGAGCGTTCCTACAAAAAAACAAAATATTTAGTGGTTTTATTTTTAGCTGTCATATGCAAATAGCATGTAAAAAGAGAATTACGACACGGGCAGGACACGAACCGGCATCCACAGTGTTCCGTGAAGTTGCTCAAACCAATTGAGATACCGTGTCCTAGACGTTATCGTCGAATTTCACAAGCTATTGAAAAATGTTACCTCTCGTAATTTTGTAAAATGTATACTGCACTTTTAATTATATAGTGCCGTCATGTATGTCCTTATTCCAATATTCAATAAATAAAGAGAATGTGTCTTCTTATTATTTCTCGACGTTTAAAATACTTTCTATCCATTAAGAGATGTATTGTTTATTAAAACATGGCGTTATTGCAAGTTCTTATTGGCTCACAAAGAAATCTCACAAGCACACATATTACTTAGTTGTGAAGATACATAGCGTCAGTGTAAATTGTTAATAATATTGTAGAGACCCTAAAGACAGCGAACGCTCGTCTTATATTACATTGACCGCAACGCAACAAAAACAAAATGAGAGAATGTCCTCAATCGTGCGTGTCCTGCTACGTAGGGCTTGCTACCAACAATTTTTTATATACACAATTGCTTTAAATAAAAAGATAACATAGTTTTTAAAGAAAACTGAGCAAACACTGACAGAGTTAAACGCACAGAAAAATTATAAACCTTTTTAACTAACATTTCTGTACGGTGTGCACATTACACATATAATCTCAATAGATCTGGGTTCAACAAAGTAGAAAAAAAGAGTCAGCATTTTGGGCTTAATGTTTCTTGTGTTTTTTGTTCTTCATTGCAGTCTAATAGATGATCTTGTGTCAATTCGATATTACACTCATAATGTATTGTTGGGGAAAAGGTGTGTTTCATCTTACGAATATATAAATCTTTATTGTCACAAAGCCAATAAATAACAAAACGAAACATAAAATAAAAAATTATGAAAACTAAGGACAAATGACGGCTTCATAGCTAAATAGCTCTTCCAAGCGGTAGTTACTTAAACCTAACAATAATACGAAAATGGGCTTAATCTGAAATACTTTAATTACTAACGTAACTAAGTTGCTTTATGAGAGATCAATTCTGGGTTGTATCTTGTAAGATTAGCAGCCCTAAGTGTGTTTAACCCGTTGCGTGGTGCAACGTGCGGGCAGGGGCAGGAAGCCGCAGGACATCCGACACGTACAGGAAGCGAAACCAGTTCCAGAGCCTTTGTCCCTCAGCTCCCGCCGCATCCCGCACTCCGAGGACCCAGTTCGACAACATTCCTCCACTACCTCTGCGCTTGCGCAGCGCTCAGATTCTATAAATCAGTAATCAACGTCATTGCCGCCATATTTTTTTTATTATTCATCAACTCAACTTACATATATCTAAATACTGTGCCTTGTTTATCTATGATACCGGCATAAACTATAATATGTAATATAACTTAAGGAAAACACTAAAGTTATTTATTTATTTAGCAAAAAGGAAATAAATAGATACATTACACAAGTAGCATAGCTAAAGAATAACCATGAAGATTCAAAAATAGTTCGATTCAGAAAGAGTCAGAAAAGTTATTTACAAATTAAATAGTAATGATAAAGAAAAAATCAACACATTGATTAAAACCTAATTTAAACTAAATAAATGTTACAAAAAATTTGCAAAGAAATAGCTAATTTACGCTTAAACTACTAATCAACAAAAAGTTTCTTAGTATATCCACAATAAATAAACGAATTTCATATTATCAATCAAGCAATCTTCTATCATTTTCCACTTAAGTCGTCACCATCTTCTCGTTAGTATAAGTTCCAAATTTATAAATGCTAATAACTACAGAATGTACAGGAAAGTATGTAAGGATCGCCGTAACAATAATTTCTTCTCCTTCAAATACCTTAAACTAGCTTTATCGCAAAGATCATCCGTAGATAATTGAGTAAGCCGATCGATATGAGATAAGATGTAGTGAGTCATTTTTTATTTTTATGACATGAAACAGTGGTCCGATAAACATTTTATGTAAGATATAGAAAACTATTACAACTTATTTAATTGTCATGTGTCAATTGGGATTACAGACTTATTTTATTTAAATTATAATTTAATTTAGTCTCCCCGTGACCACGGCTGTTGCAAAGCATCCGAAACGTCGAGCCGTAGTTAAAACTATTTTCAAATAAATTTAACTAATTTATATTGCGTTTTAAACTGTTTTATTTAAATGTGTACCACTCGCGTAAACTACAGACAGTATTTGATTTATTTAATTCCAAAGACACCGTACGGGTTAATTATAAGTATGTCAAAAAATTACAAAAGTATCAGCAACGTAATCTACAACGAATTAAATCTGTTTAAGCAAGTACGCATTGCGCCATTAATGTTTACAATGTCGGAAGTTGTCTTGCTTTGTAATGTCCCGCGTGTTTTGAGTAGGTGTGAACTGTAAAAAAATATTAATACATTGTATCTCCATAGTCACTAATGAACTACCGGAAACTTTTTTACTATCTAGTGAGTCATTGTATGCACTTAAGTTTAGCGTAGCTATGATGTCAAAATAAAGTTATTTCGTTAATGTGTGTTATTATGAAATTGTATACAAATAACATAAATTAATTACTGTAAATAAATATACGCCGTAAACTAGATATATTAGAGAAAATATGGTAAATAAATACGTTTGAAGGCGATTTTTATCTCCCTAAAAATAAAATGTTCTGTCGTCAAATGTATGATTAACACCACCGACGTCTGCATCATCGAGCGGAAAACGTGAACACCCAAAATAGCTACTGAATATTTCCGACTTGTGTTCCGATGTACTCGTGGAAATAATGGCCTAAGACGGTCGGCGCGCGCGCAACTTCCGGAGCGCAAGTAAATATGGCGTCGACGAAGCAACATGGCGCAGTTTCCGGTTGCGCTGATTCACATATGATGGCTGGTTCTGGCTGGCTCACTGCATTTCTGTTCCGTGATTCAGACTTACGCAACTAGTGGGTATCTTGTCCCCTACTCGAAGCTCATTGGAATTCGTTGTCTGGCAATAACTCAAGGTCTCACCGTCGGTTGCCTGTTAGTCTGCCCGAACTTGCAGACATGAGCATTATACAATTTACGTGAATTTGTTTATAGCAACGTCGAAACTTTTCCGTGAGCTACAGGAAAAATAAATATTATCCAAATTAATCTTTACTGGAATCGCTGGCCGGCGAAAAATATATCTACAAACTTTCCAACATCGAGTCGATACAAAATTTTGAAAATGAATAGTAGCTATATATACTATTGTGGATAACCTATTAGTGAGTTTTAATTGTAGTTTTATATACAGATCATCATACATCGTTAGGAACAAAATATTAAGTTTTAATGACATTATCGAAGCGAAGGTAAGCGAGCAAGGTTGTCGCACCGGTGGCCGTGGCACTGAACTTGCTTTCTTCGACACTTCCCGCGGTTCGTCGTGAATCCATTTCATCATCTATTTAATACGCACTATTAGGTCGTATTCTGATACTTTAAAAACTATATTTAGGACTTAAATCATAAAGTAACCAATAGTGTAACTGTTTATTTGTATTTTAATTATTGGATTGCTTTCGTATGAAAGGATAGCATTATATATAAACCTTACGACAGACATAAAGAAATTTACATATTTTTATGCCCATAAATTAAACTCGATAACAATGCTTTTCAACAACAAACAACGAACGACAAAACTTCAAAAGATTAATATAGCAATACAATTGTATACTGTATATAGTTTACAGGAGTAGTACACATTTAAATAAAACCACTTTAACGGTTTCAAACGCGATATATATTAGTTAAACTTATTTGAAGATTTTTTCCGTCTCTCCGTGACCATGGCTGCTGCAAAACCCGAAACGTCGGGCCGAAGTTAAAAATTAATTTTCAAATAAGTTTAACTAATGTATATCGCGTTTTAAACTATTACAGTGTTTTATTTAAAATTTACAATTGTAATCGATTTAGTAATTAGTAATTTTAGCAAGCAATTTGTTTTTTACCACAGATTAAGTTGAAAACACTTGACAAGGAATATCAGACAACAATGTTCTCATAACTTACTCAGTGTGATGTAAGAGCATAACATGTAATCATCTACATAACTTTAACTAGATAATTACACGTGGAAATATACGTAGGAGTTCCAATCGCATCGATAATGGAAACAATGTATGTTTCTTTAAACTTGATAAAATGTATATTTTTTTGTTTTTAATTATAACATTACATTTTAAGATTCATTACATTAATTAATTTTGAAATAGTTTTTTTTTCATTTGTGCTTATAAAATAATAACAAACAGGGCTTGTGAAGGCAGTTAAATTAAAAAAAAAATTTTTTGTTAATAACATAATTAATATTTGGAAACTTTAATATCTTTTTGTACATTAATTATAAATTAAAAATCGATTATATATGTATTTAAAAAAAATACGACACGGACAGGACTTGTCGAACAGGCATCTACAGCATTCTATGCTGTTGCTTTAAACAAAATAGTTATACATAAATAGATTTAGCGCTAGAAAAATGTAACGAATGTAATTTAAAAATCGAAAATAAATTGGAAAAAAATTAGACACGAGCAGGATTTGATCCGGCATCGTCAGCGTTCCGTGCTGTTGCTCTCGGAACGCCGACGATGCCGGTTCAAGTCCTGCTTGAGTCTAAATTTTTTAGTGCCTTCATGTGCAATAACATGTAAAAAATAATAAAGTTTTCATAACGAATGTAGATTGGGAGAAATCGCCTGAATAACAAACAATATGAACTATTTTACTGATAGGGATAAGACATGGTAAGCCGTCGCCTCCTTTGCCACGTTTATTTATAAGGCTATTTGAATTTAGGATTGTCCGCAATCCCACTTCCGCGTAGCTCATCCCGCTGCGCGACCTAGGCTCCCGTTATCAACGGGCCCGTTACGTGACGCGGCTGACCCGGATCCAATGCGACGCCACGCACCTAGCCGATTCAGTGGAAAAACGCCTGTCTCATCCATGTCACGATACCCAGCCACTGCAAATAGGTGTTGCTCTTCGGCTACTGTATTTCAAAACTGCATTTATCATAACGTTTTGAAGAACAAGTGTAAGCAAAAAACTAATCCGCACATGATAGAAATTCTACTGAAGGAGTCTGGTTGAAGTTGTCTTGGTAGCGTTTACGTTTTAAATTAAACACTTTAACGCTTCAAACGCGAAACATAATAGTTAAACTAATTTTAAAATTATTTTAACTACAGCTTGACGTTTCGGATGCTTTGCAGCAGTCGTGGTCATGGGGAGACTTAAGATGGAGGGTGTCTCTAATACCAAAGAAAAAACTGCTAGCGCTATCTGTTCTATCGTAGTTGGTATTTGGCGAAACTGGCCGGCTCCTTGCAGAATTTGCTAGCTTTAGTCAATTCTGCAAAGATCCGGCGCGTCGGGCCGTAGTTAAAATAATTTTTAAATAAGTTTAACTAATATTTCTCACGTTTTAAACCGTTAAAGTGTTGTATTTAAATCTGTACTACTAGCGTAAACTACAGAAAGTATTTAGTTTTTACGATGTTTTTTTTTTCGCAAAAAAGGTGGCATGAGTTTCCTTTATTGCCTGAGTATATATACATAGTTTATTTTCGTAATTTTTCCCAATTTCTAACGCTAGTTATAAAATATTGCAGCATATGTTAGTGCATGAAGTATAAATAATGCTCTGCATCGAATAGCGTTGTATCGTCGCCAATAGACGTAATTAAAAGCGCAAGTAGAGTGCAATACGTACCGCTATGGCGCGGGCGTCGCAGCCGGTGACACTGAGGCTGTGGTCTCCTAAAAACGCCATAAGCCATAGTGTAACTCGTTACCTCACTCCGACATCAATCCTTGTTTGTCATATCTTCTCTTTGTTTAGAGGTATGGATAGTCCAACTCTCACACCAAACAGCAATAAACGTGACGCTGTACGCATGCCACGGTGTTTTATGAGACCAGAGCTTTACCAAGCGAGGTGGAAGGCACCATGTTCCGTGAAAAATGTCGCGGCTCCATGATCAATGCAAAGGCTATCTGGGTGAATTCCGCGACTAATAACATTGAGCTATTTTAAAAACGTGTCAAACTAATTGAGACATCCTTGGGCTTCGATTTATGCACTACTTAATATTAACTACCAATGGTAATATGAATTCTGTATTGTCTGTAAATTACGCGAGTATTACACATTTAAATAGAACAGTGTGCAACGGTTAAAAGCGCGAAATTTATTAGTTAACTTATTTACAATTTATTATAACTACTTTGCAGCATCCGTGGTCACGGGGGGAATAAGGGGAAAGTTTAAATTGTTTAAAAGATTGTAATTAATAATTATAAGAAATCTATTTAATAACTTTTAAGAGTTCTATTCATGTAGATTAGTTTTACATGTCGCATGGTAGTTAGTAAAAATTGTTGCCTGAGAAATAAAATCTACCTACCAAAAGGGGAGATTTTTCATTTAAAATATTCCCTAGGAATTGATTTTCTTTTGTGGTTTGAAATGTTTGCCCTGGTGTACAATGTTTTTAGTTGCTCTAGTTACGCGAGTTTAGTCTATAGTTTAAGCGAGTAGTACAGGGGAGACTGTCTCCCCGTGGCTACGGCTGCTGCAAAGCATCCGAAACGTCGGGCCGGTTAAAAATCATTTTCAAATAATTTTAACTAATATATCACGTTTGAAACCGTTAAAGTGTTTTGTTTAAATGTTTTTAGTGTTAACCACAAGAAAGACATTTGTTATGGTGTGATAGAAGGACAAACTGAGAATCATACTCTTGCATCTATTAGTTATTCTACTTTACAGCTAATATACTAAGCAGGAAAAGTGGTATAATAATGGCACTAGATACAAGAAACGATACACGATTTGAAGATAATGTAATATTGAAATTACCGAGAATTGAAATCAGTTCCGTTGAGCCACGCGCTGTAGATAAAATACAGTTTTATTTTCTATTGTTTTCCTTTACAGACTAGTGATAGGGGTCGAGCCTTCAATTATTTATTAAGTGCTATTAAAAATAGACGTTTTTAACATTTAATTATTAAAATATAAAATAATTACAAGAATCTTTTTCAAATGATATAGTCATTTAATGGCTGCTTACGAAGAAAGAAACAATATTTTAACAGAGACTTGAGATATCAAGAAGCTTGGTCAAAGAGGCAGTTGTTGTGTATATTATGACAATTTCGATGGCACATCAAAAGATTTTATTTACTACATAGAAAATGACACGTTACAGTAATTATTAGTGCACGTGTTTGTCCGGACAATTTATCTATATTTATTAGCATCAGTCATTACAATTTGTGAGCGAAGTCGACGTGCAACATAACCGTCGCGCCAGGAAGTGCGCCCACGCATTATGGCTCCGCAATCCGCACATAGCAGACTATCTAAATGCCAATAAATGTTTTAGAAGTCAGAGGGTACGGCTTGTTCCAGACTACTTTTTTAGAGAAATCAATAAATCATGAGGTTTACATGATGGTATGTCAGCCGTATAAAAAGTCTGAACAAAATATGTTGTTGACCTATTATGGCTGTGGTCATACGGAAATATACTGGCTGAAACCGAAATTTCGCACGTATTTCTCACCTATTAAATTTCGAACTTTCAAAAAAATATTTTTTCGATGTTTAATATTATATATTTTTAATATGATATTAAATATGAACGTATCAAACCCACGGCCAATTGAAGGCCATTCATTGCTACTATTGGAGCAAGAAGCCCGTAGAATGATAGTTCAAATCGCGCTATAAGTAAGTAAACATTAGTATGTGATATATTTACAATTAATCTATGTACAATTCAATTTGAACATGTCCATAATAAATAATAAAATAACGTCATATATGTTTTTATACACGCATGACGTAGTCTAAAAAAAACCCTTAAGCTTCTATAATATATTAGGCAAATTACAAATAATATTATTTGGACTGTTTAAATATAACTGGGTTATTTAACGCGGGTTGAAGTCCTGTCTGAGGCATAGATTTTTTATTCCTCGTCTTTTGACTGTCTCCCCTGAATGTCTTTGAAGACAATAACGTTGTAAATAGTAATTAACACAGCTACCTTTGTTGATACATTTTCTTACATATTCATCTTGCATTGAATTACATCCATAATTCAATTATTTGCAACACTTAGGTGTGATGCAATTTTGCAAAATATTTCAATTATAGAAGTGTTCCGATTAATTTTATTCCTTTACAAACATTTTACTTTAGTTCATTTTTAAAGTGAAAACTTTCGTTTCATGCTAACGTGGTCACGAGATATCTATAGAAAAATGATAGTTTAGAACTATTTATTTGGCTAGATCAATTTAAACGTGTAGATAAGAAGTATGCATATATTACTATTGTAATATGTGACAGGAAATACCGAGACGCAAAGTAAGCGGACAACTGTAAAACAAAAAGGCAAAACACAAGCAAGGCAAACGAGGCTTTATCATTTATCGATACACCTACAAGATAGGCCTCTGTACTTAAATGAAATAACGTAGATACTCTTTTCATTATATTACTATTTAAAGCAATGTGTACATCTCCCACCCTCCCTAGAAAGCTCCCACGAAACGACCGTAGCGACCGACGAGGTGGTGTGTTTAGTGGTTCTGGTCCACTCCCGCCTTCATCAAGGTTGATACTGCCACCACGAACACGAAAGGTGTGGTGCGATCTACCACAATCCCACGTAAAAAAATAAAGTTAAAGCATAGCTTACTCTACTCATATGAGTGGCAAATACATCTCGGCTGTTTATACTTGCTTTTAGGTTTATTTTATTAAAGCTAGTACATTGTATAAGGTAATTTGCTTACCTTGGTCAGTTTTCTACGTACGAGTATAGTCGAAATCAATACAGTATTTTAAATAAACAAAGACACGAATATTACAACATCCCTCTTGTACTTTTTAGTGAGATACATGTTTTGTTCGATTTTATTATGGATATTAACAATATCGTACCAATAATCTACTTATTGGTACGATATTGTTGGATGTAAATTTTACATTGAAAGTAATATTTAGGCTGTTTTTCTGACATAGGAGTCAGACCATCAAATGGTTCACTTCATGGAACATGCCCCCAGCCATATAATACCTAAAAAGGACATGCTATCGACCTATTTCGACTTAGAATAGAAAAGAAGACATTTATTCGGAAACAACACAAGACATTTAACAAACACAATACGAAAATCATTACAAATTATATAAAAATGAACTAATTACATATAAAAAATAAAATAGTTGCCTCCGAAAAGGAGTCCACTCAGCTACATTGGGACTAATGTCCCAACACTGATATTCTGGGGGCCCTTTAGAGGCCGAGCTAACACAAGCGAGATAGTTTCACATTGTGTGAATTAAGTACATTGTACATTCGAAAATACACAGACTGAAACCTTAGTTGATTATAAGTACATCATGATAGGCTTCTTCATCTTTGAATAGTGGTTCGTAACCCGGATGGAATTGATTAGAAACATGTTAGATCTGGTGGGTCACGAACCCATTACCGATTTCACTAATAGCAATAAATTCCTACCACTGGACCAACGCACCCTTAAAATCCGATATAGAATATATAGGACAATATAAGTTTACAAATAAACAGTATATTGATGGATTTGTTCTTACCTTAGAATGGATATTAAAAGTTCATTCAATAGTTAAGCAAAAGAAGTTCATAAAAGTGAACAATTGAAGAGAGTCAATCTTGTCAGACAGCATGGAGCGAACGCGACGAGGCGACGCGACAATGGCTACGGTCAGTCAGGAAAATTATTAATTGGCCCTACACAGCACAAAGAAGCGGAAATATAAAACTTCTGCGACGAACCCCCGCAGCGCGAGGCGCTTTACCTGACTCTTGCCCTGGCATTGTGTTCTAATACAAAGAAGTTTACCTTTGAGACCCTGTGGGAAATTGCGCAACGATGACGCTTATACCTTTGAAGAAGTCAGTTTATCGAATGCAGTATCACAGAGTTATTGCTAAGCCAGCGCAAAGTAAGCCTTTTATTCTACGGTTGAATTAATCTTGCTATTCACTGAAAAGGTTATACATACGTTAACTATTCTCTTTGAGTATATACACAAAAAATAAGGATTTAACTTTATGCACTCGTCTTTTGAATTTTTAAAGTTGTCCTGGAAGAAATAAGCGATACGGCCACCTTCAAACAAGAATTGGCTTTTTTATACAAATAAAGACTCATCATCGTAATGCTTAATTAAGCTATTTTAATTAAACCTTTTATTGTACATTCGCACCTCGCCTTTACTATGACCATAAGGTTTGATCTGGAAGTCCGGATTCCTCGAAATGCGATGTCCATCGGGCGCTCTATATCTCACAGATGAGTGTCAAACAAATCCGTGGATCGTTCCTGGAAAGGACGAAGCGGCGCTTTGGACCCAACGTTTTTTGTTCATCCGAAGATAATAAATGATGTACTTGAAAAAAGATCCGACCTGTTCATAAGATAACGATCGGGGTTGATTTTTATGGAAATACGTTTGGGAATTATAACGATCAAGAATCCTTTGGGATGAGGTGGAGCAAGCAGACAATGCGTCGGCGAATGGTACCTTTAAGCTCTGCCACTCATCCTTATGATTTTATCTGATCGGTGATAGAGTGCTCCGTAATCGCTTGAATATCATCGATAGCATCACAAAACTTTCGTGGATTGCAATTGATTAAACTGATCGCAGACCTTTATAGAAAACTTCGTCGTTACATTTCCGTTTTGAACGTTTTCGTTTCAACATTAAAATGCTAGTCAGAAGGCCTCGCATAGCATAGTTTGAGAACTTAGCGGTAATAAGTGAGTGTAACGGTCTTTAAGACACGGAGGAAAAGAGAAAAGCCTTCTGAAAATTTCCAGCTATTTTCCACTTAGCCCGACCATTGAATGCACTAACCACTACACAATACATATACGTCTCCAATTAAGTATTTTAGGAAGAGGATTTTATATT